AGTTTCATTATCAACTTTAATAATGATTACTTACCGTAAAATTTATGTTAAGTGCTCGAATTATGCTGGATGTAAGCCAACTTTATACCTGAACACACCAAGATTATAAACTGCATAAACGTCAATAAAGATTGTAAACATGTCGTATCTTTTTATAAAGAAAAATACAACTGGATTCTTGCAGATTATAAAAACACAAGACATTATTATGTAACTACGTTATATAATAATTTGTTTAAATGGTTGTTCAGTGCCCTAAATTCGAGACTAATATTGACTATACATAAACTACCTCTATATATCGTGACTATAAATATCATGAGGAAACCTGGATAATTTCTAGTTATAAGTTTGAAATCGCCAACCCGCATTCAGCAAGCGTGGTGATTAATGGTCAAACCTTTTCCGTGTGAGAAGAGGCCTTTGGTCAGCAGTTGCCACTAACATATTGATGATAATGTATTTAAGTGCCATTTTGTGAAGATATCCCATTGTTGTTTTAAGATCAAATTTAAGATCGAATCTTTAAATTAAAATCGCTGTATGAAGGACTACAAACTCCAATAACATCTAAAGCTGTCGAGAAGTCTCACCTGCCTCCAAATACTTTTATTCTTTACAAATTTCTCAAAAAGATGCCTTAATTGTGACTGTCACAAAAATTTCCAAGATTTTTTGACACGGTTACCGTGGTTTCTTTTTTTGAAGGGGGAAAATCATCCAATGTCTTCTTCCGCGTCTGGCGAGGCGAGAGGAAGTGGCTGATTCTTACTGAATAAAAACCACCCCGTTCCTACAACGGTTACGAGCCGGAGCCCCGGTAACCCGTTAGGCCATCCGCAACTCCGGGTCAACCGGATATGATTTTGATAACATAAGGCGACGAACCGAGCTAGCAACAAAGAACAGACAGTGCTAACAGATCAATTAGCTTCAATCTGTCAAATATTTACTTGATTTTCAACTTTATAGTATTGATATGGAGTCGAAAATGAAATTAAAAAATTGGAGTAAGTTCACCAGCTGGCCACTGTACTTACACATTTCGAGACATCATACGAGCAGAAAGGTCTATATTAATTTGATAATTTGTAATCAAAAATATCGTGTGTCGTAGCTCGACACGCGTGGGGCGTGGGACTCGTGCATGACCTTCGTACGACCCGATTTACATGCCAGATTTATTTTTATAGCATTATAACTTTTACATAAGGTGGATCCCGTTTTCTTGATATTATTTATTTAGAGATAGGGGTTGTTGACAGCTAGTGGCCATAACCTAAATATTATAAGGGGATGTTGACCTATTTGGTGACAGTTTTACCTACTTTAGGTAGAGATAGAATTTTGATACATTCTGTGGAACTTCATCATCGTCAACAGCCCGTAACAGGCGTCCACTACAGCACTACACTTTCTCAATAAAAGAAGGACTTTTGCCACAATCTTCACGTAAGTAGGCTACTATTACCACAAGTTTTTAAAATTTTTGATAATATGTACTTATATCCTCTATAATTTCTTAGAACTAATATTTCTCAGAATGTTTCAAGATCTTCAGTGATATCAGCGACAAAATTGTTCTGATTACTGATTCGTATTGTTTATCTCATTGAATTGAGAGATATGATTCATCGATACTTAAACATCGCCAACTTACCTACTGAACATCTATTTTAGTCTTAAAATTATTGATTACGAACATACAATAAGATTCACAAAGGAATCAGTTTAAAAAATACTTAAAAACGTAATAAAGATTGTTCTAGAGCGTCCAGTTGCGAACTGAAATTTATTATTACCAGATTTAAGGCGTTGAACCAAAAAAAAATTGTGTGCCAACCACGAGAAACAATAGTGATCATTTTTGTATCACTAATTTATCATTAAGGTTAAAGTTCCTACCGTAAAGCGTACCGTACAAATAGTATCTAGTTATCTGTGGTCTACATGTCAACTGTCAAATTGGTAATTGGCGCCAAAATTTAATTATCTATTGAAGCACTTAGCACCGTCTTTTTAAATGGTTGTCTTTATCTTCAGTTCAATTTTATTTATCTTTCATTGTGATTCTGGGGTCGGATCGAAGTCACGAGTTTGTCCTATTATCAAATAGATACCTACCTGTTTTTATAGTTAAATGTTTTATAAGCATCATTACGATAAAATAAATAATAAATTATGTAAACACAAGAACGGATGTGTGATATGTATCGAATTAAAGCCATTAATGGACTATTCCAGATCTCAGTGCATTTGGAGGTGGTAACAAATATTCCCAAACTATTTTAGCGTGCCCAAAACAATGTCAAGTACCTATAGAGAAAGAAGAAGAAGAAGAAAGAAAGAAAGAAAATTATGTACTGACATCTGATCCATTTTGTATGATGCTTGTGTCAAATATATCTTTAGCAGCAAAGTCTATCGACAGTCCATCGTTCTCACATAATTGAACCAACGAAACAATGAAACCAAGAATATTGTATTATGAATCTGATTGAAAAAGAGTAACCTATGGAGTTTCTTGCTCGTTCTTCTCTATAGGAATCTACACTTTGGAACGAGCAAACAGCTTCACTAGAGGATTGACCGCCAGACTGACATTTTTTACTCTCTGCTCGCGCCTGGGTGAGGCGGAAGGGAGTGTCAGACTCTTACTGACTAAAAACCACCCCGTTCCTTCTCCTGCACGTCGAGCCGGAGCCCCAGTTACCCGTTAGGTTCTCCGCGACTCCGAATCGGCATTGGCCCTATTGGGCCCCATCTGTGGTGGTCTGATGGCTCTTTGAGGCGCGCGCGGATTTTGACTTTGCTTACTCTATTAATTACTTCTTTACTTTGTTCAGTGATTTATTTTCACACTAATATAATCTTGCGTTGTACATTTAGATACACTCATCCTTTTAGACAGCTTTAGACAATAACAAGTCATTGTGTCTATAAGATTTACTAACTAAATGACTGATCTATGTAGCGTCACTGAAAATAATAAGTATTCCTTTAAAGATCTGAGAATAGGCCACAGATTTAAGGTAGTTCATTATAAATTAGTCCTAGTTTTCAACATGGAAAATATAAAACTTTGCCATATTGCGGATTTCGTAAGAACTACTTATTGTACTTTAAAATAAATTTCAGTGTTTGGAGGCAATTTACGACTCTAGCGCCACCTACCGTAAAATGGGGTGGATAGGGATCAAGAGGTGAATAGAATTATTGGGAAATTCTTCTTAGTATCGATTCACCCATCTTCTGTCTCTATTCACCTCTCGATCCCTATTCACCCCCCATTTTACCGTATCGTTTATTTTTCTGGCGAAACTTTGTACGTTTTAACTTATTCTTTTCATTGTCAGTAGGATGGTGTTCGATCGATTCTCATTCGCACTGACGCATGAATCAGATACGTTAGACCCTATCTAGATAGAATAGTTTCTTAGTGAATACATAAACTTAATTATGTTATGTTCAAATTTCAAGAATTGGTATTCGGACTCTCTAAGTTAAAATAAAATGCCGTGCCGGAAAAATGCTTTTCTGCCAATGTCAAATAATTTTATTGCAATAGACGTGTTAATAATAATAAATCCATGTGTAGTTATCTATGAACACTACCTACACAGACTACACAGTAACTGACTTATCAACGTAATGTTTACAGATAAAAAAGTTTATTATGAAGAAAGATTTGTAAAACATTGCTTGATAACCTTACTCAGGTTATCAAGCAATGTTTAGGTTTTTAACATTCCGCAGTTGCAATTACAAATATTATGACCAAACTGGAGCGAACTTAGGCACTTTTATTGCTATTTGAAATGAAACAGGAAGTCAAAGATGAACGATATGGAGTCAGTCTCTGTACCCTATCTTTCAGTTTTGGTTAGATTCTCGAACTGGCAAATTCAAGACCCCAAGGTCGCGGAGAACCTAACGGGATACCGGGGCTCCGGCTAGACGTGCAGGAGAAGGAACGGGGTGGTTTTTAGTCAATAAGAGTCTGGCACTCCCTCCCGCTTCACCCAGGCGGGAGCAGTCATTCGATGATTTTTCCCCCCTTAAAAAAAAAGGTAGGAAATCCTCATACTTCAATCTAAAATCTGTGGACAAGATTCGAATTTTGACAGAAACTCCACACAACTAATGTCAAAAATCGATCCATATCCAGAGATATCGGATTGAGATAGTTTATTGAAAATAACAGTAAACTGTCAGCCTCAACAAACAGAATTTGAACTATGGGTGTATTATCAGGTTTGCAGAAGGGCGCCGCGAAATGCTCGTACTTAACGGTACATAGTGGCGGTGGCGCCAAAAACATTAAGGGCGCCTATGGAGTGCTTGCCTATGGTGCTCTGTAGGTGTAATCCATCCCTAGTTACACCCCTACACCACTAGTAAAACCAGTCACGAAAAATTGTAGCGTATACTGCATATTTCTAAAACCCTTCAAGTAAAATGTTTAGATAAGTAAATGAATAAAGCTAATACTCACAGAGGAATTAAAATTTTATTATTGAACCAAACCAACAGTTACAAAATACATTTAAAAAACTATTCATTAGACCTTGGCTCGCGACAACAGAGTCTAGAAACGCACAATATGAAACTAAGTTCACGGCTTCGGCGACATCGTATCACATCAGTCATATCGGATGAGCTAATCAAAAAGAACAAAAGGACGCTATTACCAGAATAAATTACCATTGTAATCGTAAAATCGTATATTACTTTATAAATCGCTTATATATTCACGTGTTTATAGATAGTTGCAAAAATAATGCTGTTTTAACATAATCGATCCTAATAAGAGATGCTAGAGCATGATCATCGAAACCGTGGCCTGAAAGTGATGCTAATAATTACAAAAATTAACGAACATTCTAGATAGCAATCCACACAAATAAAAATACAAACTTCATATAAACAATTTTTGCTGACACACGTCCAAATAACTTTAAAACACGGACACTGCACAAATATTGAGTTACAACATTGTTCTATTTAGTCTTCTGAATTTTCTCTAAGAGTAATTCCAACCTACCCGTCATCACGGGTTGTCCCTTTTTAGTCTTCTTACTTAACTTCTTGAATCGATCATTTTTCTTCTTCTTGTACTCTTCCAACTTTTGCATTTTCTCCTTTTTAATCCTCTCTATCTCCTGTTGCTTCTCCTGCTTTTCTTGTTTCACTTTATTGAATTGTTCTTTTGCTTTGTGATATGGATCCTTTTTTACTTTCGTTACTGTCGGAGATTTTTCTGTTTCTTTAACATTCTCTTTTTCAATTAGATCGGGATGTCGGACATATTTGCCGGCAGTTTGTGGTGCATCTGGTGCGTCTTCGTCAAAAGTCTTAGCTTTGTAAGAGCCTACTGTAGGGTCATTTTTAATATCTTTATGGTATTCTCGTAATAACCTTTTTTTACGTTGTTCCTCCCACTGCTCTAGTTTGTACTTCTTACTGTACTTCTTCAGACGGTATGCCTTCTTATCAAACGGTTTCTTTTCCTTGTTTACCTCAAGACCTTTCCGATTTTTATTGAACTCTTCTTGTCTTTTATTTGTGTTTTCCCTGATGTCTTTCTGATTCTTCTGTAGCGTCTGGCCGTTATCCCTCTTCATTTTCATGAAAAATGAGTCTCGCTTTTTTTCCATTTTAATTCAGACCTATAAAGAAATGAAAAAGCGTGTTTAAGGAAAATAAAACTTAAGAAAATGTTATTTTGTAGAAAAACAGACTGCCAAACTGATTGCCTATTGAAAGGAGACCAATTGGTTCTGAAATGCTAAGGACAAAACTCCGAATGGTGTTTATAAATATTGGACCAAATGGGTTCTGTCATCAACATAGAGTTGAAGCAATTATTCAAATAAAATACATCATTAACATATTTTTTGAAATAGTCTTTACAAAGACTGAAAAAGAAGTAGGTATATTATGTGCATCAGCACCTTGTTTAAAAATCATTTAACCATAACCATGTTTTATAAAATAATAAAATTAAATAAAAATAATATTTTTGGTAAGTTGATAGAAACTAGGGCAGTCATGAGGCAAAGGTATTATGCAGTAAAAAATAAAGAAATAACAACACGCCTTTTCATTTCTGCTTATTAAAATGGTCAATGGAAACTGTTTTCTTTTTTGTAAAATACAAATTATAATTATAAATAGACTATTGTTTTGTACACATTAGAATATGATTTCTTGTATTAACAAAATAGGAAAAAATATATTATTTTACACATTTAAACATTAACATTTGTGATTAGGATATGGGTATCATGGCAGATTTTATGCTTGAGATTGATCTAGTAGACAAGAGGGTAGTTTAAATTTTAATGTCCGTCTGGTAGATTACCTTTAAATATTAGTAATTTTTTCTTTTCTCACAAAATTATATAGTTACTTTTGACGATATTTCAAATAACGTTGTTTAGTTAAAAGTATTGTCACTACAAGTATAAAACAAGTCGCTATCTGCCATCTGTTTGTCCCTATGTATGCTCAGAGCTTTAAACTACGCAACGGATTTTGATGCAGTTTTCTTTAATAGAGAGAGTGATTCTTAAGGAAGGTATATATATATATATATGTATAATACATGCATATTGCACCCGTGCGAAGCCGGGGTGGGTTGCTAGTAACTTTATGTAGTGATGTAGTGTAATCTTTTTTAATTATAAATGGCGAACTAAAATTTTAAATTTATTTTAAAATTTCCATACCCTGGCATCAATTTGATGGTACAGTTATTTGTATAGGATCATGTAACACAGTGGCTTGTAATATTTAATATTAGGTACATTAAATAAACAAATAAATTGTGTTCGGACATCTGTTATACCTCATCTTTAAAGGCATCAATATCTGCCTAGTTTGTTGACCCCTAAAAAGACCTAGTTGGTGGTAAAGTGTTAAGATTTTTTTTAAAGGGGGGAAAATCATCAAAATTAAATGTCTTCTCCCGCCTGGGTGAGTTGGGATGGTGGGTCAGTCTCTTACTGACTGAATCCACCCCATTCCTACTCCTACACTTGAGCCTCAGTAACCTTTTACATTCTCCATGGCTAGTGTGAGATTGGTTATTTCACATTGAAGGAGTGGAGAGGTATGTATGTACATTAATGGTATATTTGATTTGGTTGATGATCATTACTCATGTCGGTGGTGGTTTGTTTCGCAATTTTGAAATCAGTAGTCAGTGTTAATAATATTGACAGTTATAATTATTTAGATGTCAATGTCCACTTAAAATTTTGAAAATTATCTTCAATGACGTACATAGAATCTACAGATCAACATCTCAGCTAGCAATAGGAATTTAAATTGAACTTAATTGTTGTCAGTGATAGAACTGTTCTATTAAAATGTACCTATGACGTCACACAAGGTCCCGCAGGAGCATACAGAGGTGCATATCATGGGATAAAACCTTTTTAGTATCTTTTGTCAAAATAATAATATCCTATGCATATAGTTTGAGTTTTGCGAGTCATATTTCTTGTGTCACAATCCTACCTTTTTCTTAAAAAGCACAGTATGAAATATCGAATAATTCGATTAATAAAAGTTAATGTTTTTTTCTAATATTTTATTGTATTGATAAGTGGAGACAATTTGATTTAACACATTAAACGCCGCGGGGGTCACCGGTGACAGACGTTAGCATAGGATTTGCCTTAATCAGCTTTCTATTGGCAGTCAAAGGCTTAATAAATATATCTATTTTTCAAATACCTACATTCAGGATCAAAAGTAAATAAATAATGTATAAGTTTGTCTAGACATGTTTTGTTATACGTAATTGTTTTGTACAATTTAATCTCTTCTTAAAACTTGTTATCATATTATTATGTTACAAATATATAGAAATGTTACAAAACTAAACAAATATTTACACCCGTTACTTATTATGATTTACGATCTTAGAGGTATGATAATTTATGTTATAATAAAGTTTATAATAAAGCCTATAGTTTATAATAACGAGAATAGAAAAAATATTACAAACAATTTTGCATATAAACCTCGGCTAACATAAATGATAGATGGTTTGGACTATGTTTTTCGATTAACCCAAGTAAAAAACGAATGTGTAAATAAATGTAAATTTTTTATTTGTAATCAAACGCTCAAAGCTGATGTCGTATGAATAACACAAAAACAAAAACGATTAAAATCATAAAAAAGTCAGCATTTTGGGAGTGTTCCATTTACACTCAGTATAGTATTGTATAGTATAGCTGTTATTTAATGTTCCCACAAAATCGGTTTGATTTAATCCACCAATTGCTGTCCCAACTTCTTCCTTAAATTATAGACACATCTATATTGTGCGAGGGATTTTAATAAATTGTGCAAAGATTTAGGACTCGATCCATTTACCACAAACAGTTCCAGGGTGTGTAGGCGGCTAAACCTTAAATTTACTAAATATCCTATTTTTTTGTGCATTGCATTCGCAAAACCTCTGTAAAGATATACTGTATCTGGTAATGGAAACCTATAATTGGCTTTGTATTGAGCAAAGAATAGCTATATTCAAAGCTTTTAGTTACCCAATTAAAGTAAATAATGAACTAAAACCTGATGTTTAAACATAAGATAATGTCACCTCGTTTAATTCTTAGAACTGTGAGTAAATGTGTATATAAACAATGTTACACTCACTTTTGACTTGGTATGTTATCGAGAGTCGAGTCATAATATGTAATATTGGGTGAGCTTCTTGTCATAAACAAGGCACGGTTGGGTAAATGTAGATGACATATTTGTAATTATTTAAAAATGAATTTACAGATTCTAGCTTGTTTTATTTTAGATCCTGACATTGAGAAAAAATTATTTGTACCATGGAAATAATTGCGTAGAAATAAGTGCCTAGCATGGGCATTCTCAACAAACAATTTAGTGGCAGCAATATTGTGCAATATTTTTCTTTTTTCTGCTAAATCTAAACAAATGAACATAGGTTAGTACATATTAGTGCCTTTAATAAGTGGTTTACCCAAGTGATAATGGTCGAAAACGCATGTTATCAAGTCCGAATAATTTGCTAGAACATTACTGAACACATACTGCTTATAACATTCAAGTGACGTAAATTTCGTCACTGAATGCCGAGGTGAATCACAATTCGTATGTTTCGTATTCATAAAGTCTATTGACTGATACCAGTACCTATTTACCTGATATTTCAAGGCAAACTGACGCCACATAACGCTTTTTCAGCTACCAAATACGGTCATTACCAAACCTATGAACTCTCAAACATGAGATCAGTTTCACGTTTTTCCAAACATATGGTGACTCCGCATAATAATATCTTATATACACGTAAAATAATGTTAATAAGGTTATAAAAAATGATGAAATAAAGGACAAAACTCACCAAAATAAGCCACCCACTGGGTAGGCTTTGAATTATCGGCGGAATCTTGATTGTTTAATTGCACTTGGCACAAAAAAACTTAACCACGGTTATAGATTTTATATCACGGTATTTCGTGTGAAAAACTTTACCGAGCATGCCCTAATGTGATTTTTTTGATTAATTTTCATAAGAAACGAGATCGACGTTTCGCAAAAATGTCACGGAAGGAGCGAGAAAGGGAAGGAAACGTGCAAATCTGCTACGCCATCTACTTCTGGCTGTCACTTCTATTCCGTATTGATCGATCCGTAAAACGGAGCATGCGCTCTATTTAAAAAAATATATACTTGCTCAACTTCTAGTTAATTATAGTATAATATGAAATTCAATATGTTATCCCTTGACATAAATTCTCATCGTCTATTATGTAAGTATAATATAATGTGTAATATTTTTCAAACTTCGACAGAGTAGTTTGAGCATTTTGGAACGCAAATTGCGATGTTAGTGACATCTGTAAACAATAAATGGAACTAGCAGCAGAACTGTCACATCATTTGATTTGTTCTTTCCGGTTTGTAGATGGCACTGCAATGCAATAAAGCGGCAGAGTTTAAAAATAAATACAGAATTTCGTTCTCAATAATTTATTCACAGATACATCGGCTTCGGGTTTTTTCACTATATAGGTACCATCGATTTAAATAAATGTATTAATTTGATCAATGTGATAAGCTGTGACTTTTAAATAGAAAATTATTTAATTTATCACTTATCACGTTCGCGGACGCGCCGGTTATGACAGTCATTAGGAACTTGCGCAGAATGACGCGCCGGCTATACCCTTCGATATTTTTTTGTGCTCTAGAAGCACAACTGCTTTAGCAGACGAATTTCCATACTGCTACCATATAGTTCATCATCTAGTGCCCCCAAATTAAATTATTCGAATTGCTAGGTGTCACGTAACATGTCTTTTTACTGCTTCCAACGTACTACTACTTGGAACATTTGTGTGCCCACTCACACTGACGCAGCGGTCATAGCAGCGGCCATTGTATGAGAATTTGTTCCGTTGGCTGCGGAGTGCGCCGTGGAGTGCACACGTCAGGAACGTGATTTACGCGCGGTTTTTGACCAACATTTATGGTAAGTAGAATTGATTTTTATGATTAAATAATTAGATTACCTATATTAGTAATATTTAAATGAAACGTAGGTACTTTAGAACATAATAATGTATATAAATACAAATCCTACTAATATTATAAATGCGAAAGTTTGTGAGGCTGTATGTAGGTATGTTAGTTACTCTTTCACGCAAAAACCACAGAAAGGATTTGGCTAAAATTTGGTACAGAGATAGTTTATAACCTGGATTAACACATCGGATAGGTTTTTATCCCGAATTCATGTTCCCGTGGGATAATTTTCGAGTTGTAGTGGGTGAAGCCGCTGCGCTGGCAACAGCTAGTATTGATAAATCATTGTTAATACATATAAGGTTTCAACAAATAATTTATCCTAAAATATTGATGTAAACAACTTCTACTTATAAATTCTACTTTTCAGATGTCTCGACAACGACTGAGTGGAGGTAAACCAAAAAATAACGATCCATACGAACGAGAAAATGAACGCATTATGAAATTGTTCAATGATTCATCAGATGAGTTATCTTAATCTTCTTAAAATTAAAATTATATTAAAGATTTTAATTGCAATGTCGTTTAGAATGATTAAAATTAAGGAAAGTTTATATTGTGATTAAAAGGGTAATTTTTATATTGAAATAACTATTGTAATGTCGATGTAATTTTTCCTACATTAAAATAAATAAAACCTTGTGTTTTTATTATCTACTGGTGTTCTTTTTATCATAATTATTTTGAAACTTTGTAGAAGGGATTAATAATATTGATGGCTATAGTCGCAGTATGCTGTATTTGAGTAAAATAACCGTTTACTACTGACGTAACGACTGATGCCTTTGAAGGCTATAGCCGGCGCGTCCTATTTGTATAGTCAAAGACTACATACCTGTGACGTAACGTTTGGAGCAGGCGAAGGCTATGGCCGGTGTTGTCTTATTTAAATACGTTGTCTTTTTTACCGGCGACAGTACGGCTATAGCCTTTCATACAAAAATCTTGTGTCAAGATAGGGTTACAAAATCAAGCAAAGTGTCCGCGAACGTGTTATACAGAACACTACGAAACTACGAAAATGTGTTCTGTACGCATGGAATGTAGTAGATAGTTCTACTAATAATGATTTCGGAGATTTTACAAGTTTATAATCTATAAGACTAGTATTTTTTTTAAGGGGGGAAATAATGACTGCTCCCGCCTGAGTGAGGCGGGAGGGAGTGTCACACTCTTACTGACTGAAAACCACCCCGTTCCTTCTCCTGCACGTCGAGCCGGAGCCCCGGTAACCCGTTAGGTTCTCCGCGACATAAGACTAGTATTGGAAACATAATTTTTGTTAATTTTATGTAGGTCCGTAAACACTACCTATTATTTTAACAAGAACTATTTATTAGATAAATGTGTGAAAGTTCTTTTGTAGCACTCAATATAATTGAATAAGGATTCAATTGCAATGAAAGATAGAAAGTGAGGTAAAATAATTAGAATGTGTCAGTTGCTAGCATGTCAACGTTCGCAAGACCGAGTTAGTTACGCATATTGAATTACGGCAGTGCCCTGCCAGTACAATCGTGTACAGAAGCTTTGAAGCACTGAGGACAAACCATCAGACATTCTTATTATTATTTTTATTACACATTTTCTGTAAGTAATAATCACTTAATATAATAAAATTATTTTATGGATATTCTGAGGTGGTGTATTTAATAAATGTATCTATTATATACCTGTCGCGGAGAACCTAACAAGTTGCCGGGGCTTCGACTCGACATGCAGGAAGAAAAAGAAGGAGCGGGGTGGTTTTTAGTCAGTAAGAGTCTGACACTCCCTCCCGCCTCACCCAGGCGGGAGCAGTCATTCGATGATTTGCCCCCCTTAAAAAAATCTATTATATACCAAGTATAATACTTAATACTTCTCATCTTATAACTCTAAAACTAACGTTAAAAAGTGTTTGTTTGTGTGTTTGATTTTACGCTGTAATTTTTTTGTAATTGGCTATAGTTAGGCGGCTGAAGAAGTCGTGAGTGATTGGAGATTTAGACTATTCTTGTTTTTTTTTTACTACACCGGTGAAACCGCGGGAAACATTACCTTTACTCTTCAGGACTAATATAACTAGTTGATGAATTTAAGTTTTCTCCTTGCTGCTGTTCATCACGGACTATTTAATTTATGGTTCCATCCGACCAAAGGGTATAAGGTTGTTTCTGTAAGATTTTAACTTATCCTACTCCAAAGTCACGGAGAACCTAACGGGTAACCGAGGCTCCGGCTCAACGTGCAGGAGAAGGAGCGGGTGGTTTTTAGTCAGTAAGAGTCTGACACTCCCTCCCGCCTCACCCAGGCGGGAGCAGTCTTCGATGATTTTTCCCCCCTTAAAAAAAATCGTATTCCGAAAAGTCGGTGGCAGAAACTATTAACATATTTTGGAATGATCACCTAGCTTTACTGGCAGACAGACTGACGAACAATTCAATTTTGACGTTTCAAAAGTATCTAAAAGTATCTATGGTCTATGGTGTGGGTCGCAACATGCGTTGAAACCATTGCACCTTCCCGTCTTTCAGTAACGCCGGCTGCTGCCACTGCACAAAACCTCAACCGGCGCAAGTATAACAACCTAGCTGGTAATTATATCATTGAGCCGTTTGGGGTTGAGACGTTAGGTCCGTAATTTTTATTTTATTTAATTTTTCCATTACTTTTAGTGTCTCGTTGTAACTACATATATAATTTTTTCCCTTCCTTTTATTATAAATACATGTCATAAAGCTATAAAATTTGCAATTAAGTATTGTGTTAAATAAATGAATTTCCAAAGTATTTAAGTAAAATAAATGTTTACTTAAAAATATTCGGTCATCAGACCTAGCAGAGATTATTTATCTTTTTACAATGTCAATAATGCACTTCATAGATAAAAATTCCACAGTTTTTATCACACAATTGCATAAATTAAATAGCGTAGCATAGCGCCAGTGCCAGTGGTCAAATCAGTTTTTATTATTATTTAATTACGTAGGTATTATAAATTACCAAACTTAATATTATTTTTCTTGAGGGCGAGTCATGTGTTAAGTACCTCCTTACCTACATCATGAAATTACATATTTTCTTCTTCGAAAAGGTAGGCAGAGATTCACATACAATATTATGGTAACACATTGAATACAATGCGACTGCCGGGCAAGGGGTCTCGGGTTCGATTCCCGGGTTGGGCAAAGTATTACTGGGTTTTAAAAAAAATCTCAGCAGTAGCACAGAGTCAGAAATTGTGCCCGATATATGGCAATAGGCACACCCCCTATTACATGGGACTTATAACATATACTTAGTGAACAGTGGGTGTGTTACATTGTACAGTGGCATAATGCGTACCTACCTCTGCCTGCCCCTGCGGGGAGAAAAGGCGTGATGTTATGACTTATGATACAATGTTACAAAATAAAGAACTTTAATTCGGTTCTAATAGCTGAATCTATTGCAAAAATCGAACTCAATTCCAGGCACCGAGCACCGAGGACATCGAAAATCACTACAATAGGTAATTTGATTGACTTCTTCCTCACTGGTGGAATAATAATAAGTATGTTAGACTGAGTGACCATTGAACCAGTAATCATAAATGGATGGAATGATAAATGATTCCAGTTATGTCATTAATTTCACATAATAAGTCCCTGTTGCATCAATTAACGAAATACGACTAGTTTTACAAATGATTATTTAAATGCATGTCAAAATAATAAATGACAAGAAAAATGCACGAGGCAGATCAGGTCATTTAACACAGACCTATGTATAGTATATCTATTATAATATTTCATCGTGAGCGCAGCGACTTTTCGAAGGTCGTCCGGACTTTAGTTCTAAGATGATAGAATTAAAATAATATTTCATTTGTTAAACACGTATCGCATCGAGTGTTTGTGTTATAAAAATTAAGTGCATAAGTGCTGAGTTTTTATTACAAAATGAAATAGTGTGGTGTTGTGCTAACGTGAATCTTGGAAGTGAGGTTTGTATGGAGCTTTTAAGTTCACACTCGTTTTTTAATAGAAACTAATTTCATGAAAGTGGTACTTAATATTCTCACTAGGTATTTAATAATACCTTATAATATATTATGTCATGACTCATGAAAACAGCTTCTGAATAAATCATTGCGCAATGTTATCATAACAAATAAAAGTGGACACGCTAAATACTAATAAACAATTGATAAAAAAAAATGTAACACTTTTGTCCTCGATTGTCCTAAGCCCGTACAACTTGCCCAATTGATGCGGCCAGTCTTATTGGCTTTACACAGTGGACACTGTCCACGAAGTGTTCTATTTTTGAAACTAGAATACAATTTTGGTCTATGGCATTAAATAATAAAGGAGAACCCAAAGAGTATTTAAATAGAAATTAAAAAAAGTAGTTTAGATAGTGGTCTAATTAGTGTATATCGTGAGAAATGAACCCTTAGAAATGTTTGAAGTGGTTTATCGAGTGATTTTTTTATAAAGTGCTATCTTATTAAGAATTAACTAAAAGAACTGAATGTGGAAGACACTGGAAGTATTTACGGTAAGGTTATCTATTTATTCAGTTTTGGAAGCCATGAACATGTGTTATTTATAAAAAGATAATGTACTACCTTAACCTGTAATGGGCCGGGAATGCGGATCTGAAACGCAAATCTATATTTTCAATTGTGTGTCTTATAACCACCCAGTTTATAGTCAGTCAAGTGGCTAAGGGACAAATAGTACCTACCTAACGCTTATTATGCCCTAAGGGCATAGTACATAGAGGTTAAATAATATTTGATTAATACACTGTGTCATAGTTCTAGTCTATATATATAGGCTATTACTAAGAAACTTGAAATCAAAAAAATTTGATACAGTTTTTTCAGGAATTGAACCTGAAAAATCATTAAAATGTTTCACTTTCAGCTTTTCTCATTGTATATTCCTTTTCCTCAAACTAAATTGAGCTACTAAAAGGTAGATACCTAACGGGTAACCGGGGCTCCGGCTCGACGTGCAGGAGAAGGAACGGGGTGGTTTTTAGTCAGTAAGAGTCTGACACTCCCTTCCGCCTCACCCAAGCGGGAGCAGTCATTCGATGATTTTCCCCCTTAAAAAAAAAAACCTAAAAGGTAGATATGTCTATCGATAATTATTATAAATACTAAAGATTTATTTATGACGTTTACTTACACACACAAACAACGAATTTTAATTTTGTTTCTGTTCTTATTTAGTGACAGTTAACTCATAAACTGCAGTAACGATTTAGATGAATTTTGAAATAAGTATTTTTTTTTAAGGGGGGAAAGTCATCGAATGACCGCCTGGGTGAGGCGGGAGGGAGTGTCAGACTCTTACTGACTAAAAACCACCCCGTTCCTTCTCCTGCTCGTCGAGCCGGAGCCCCGGTTACCCGTTAGGTTCTCCGCGACGTATATATAAGTATGTATTGGTAGGCTGCGTAATAATTGTATCTACTTACTACGCAACTTAAATTACATTTATACGAATAAAAAAAAATTTAGATACCTACCTAATTAGAATAAGAAACAGCGTGATATGCATAAATTGGAAAAAAAATGTAATCTATTGTGGCATTAAAAAAAGTATCTAAGGTTATAGACATTAAGGTATTTTTCCAAGTAATCGAACAACCCTTAACGCCACCCTTTATGGGCCCAGAAAACTCGGTTCAAACTAGATTAAACTGGACTAGCAACTTAGAATTTCGATATAAATCGTAAAGAAACTGGTTATGATATAATTATAGAAATTAAAAAAATCTATAATGTCTTATTATGCGTGTCTAGTTTAAGGTCAGGTTTTATTAATTTAACCATCATTACAGATTTACCTATCGGTAGATTTGCAAGGTTCTCACAAAAAAGACTGTTACATTAATACTTCAAAAACCTGTTAACTTTATAATAAAGACAAAACATTCTTCTCATAAAGTCAAAGGTGTTCGAGCAATATAGAGGTAATTAAAAAATGTTCGTTACCACAAACCTGCCAGTCCCCTATAAAAGCAACTCGGTAATATTGATCCTTTAGACTTGCCAGTCCATACAAAGGCAGCATTACTGTGATCTATGGTCTGGAACGCACTGATTTTCCGCTTAAATTACTCCTCGGAAGCTGAGTACTAAGCGCCCACAATTGGATAAGTCTGAGCACTTTAAAGCAAAGATGGGTCATAAAGTTAAAAGTCATGTTACTTAATAGATTAAAAGTTGCAAGCCTTTCGGTCTCCTTTTTATCGGATACATTTTGGTGAGTGTCCAGCGCTAGCCCTTATTGTGGCCCTGGTATAGAGTAGGAGTAGGAACGGAGTAATTTTTAGTCAGTGAGAGTCTGACGTTCTGGGAGGTTGTGGCGGGCTTGTCCCAAAAAAGGGGCTGAAATTCCCTCGCGTTTACCTAGGGCGGGCGGGAGGAATCAGAAAAATTATATTTTCCTGCCATCCTCACAAAAAAGAGGGATTGCAATGGATTGAAGGACAACTTAATTCCTACTAAGTCAAAGCAATCGGTTTAGTAGTTACGGCGTGAAAGCGGAACAAACAAACAAACTCACTTTCCGATACTATAGTAAGGATATTCCATCCATTCAAACGACGCGCGTTTACAAGTTTCTACAGGTAGCCAGAGTCTACTGTTTCTATAAAAAATAATGTCTGCCCCATGTGAAGCCCCATGTCTATCTATTGTCAACCTAGAGTTAGTTAATTTAGGCAACTACAAGTGACGTCATAAAATTGAAAATTTTAGATTGTAATTAGACTCTAAATCAACTACATTACTAAGACCTCTCCGTATTTACCATGAGGGCACTCAAGGCCCGTGCCCAGGGCTACCATCCTCAGGGGGCCCCAAAAGACCGACAACTTCTATGACAGACGCACACGGATTCTCGCACGTAGCAAATCTTTGTATGATCTGCAACCCACAAATTATTGTATCGGGTCTGAGGTTCATGTGTATGTGAACTGGTATTTGTAAACCTACGATACAGGGAGAAAGTCCTATTGTGGGACGACGTTAAAAAAATAAACATTCCAAAAGCAGGCAGGCCAAGGCAAACAGGCCTTGAACCCAGCATTATTCTGTGCCTAAGGGTCCCAGTCCCAGCGTAGTCTAAGACGTCCCTGACTAAAACAAAAGACATTAGCAGGTAGCGTTCAAGAAAGTGTACACGTATTCTTTATAAAAAGCCGACACGGCATCTGTAACTCTTCAGGTGTTGCTAGTATACCTGGGCGGTGTTAATCGTTTACCATCATGTGATGTACGATGTGATGTGATGGCTGCCTCGTTGGCCGAGTGGTCGTAAGTTCGACTGCCGGGTTCTCGGGTTCGATTCCCGGGTCGGGCAAAATATTACTGGGTTTTTAAATATTCTCAGTAGTAGCACGGAGTCTGGAATTGAGCCCGGTATATGGCAATAGGCTCACCCCCTATTACATGGGACTCATAACATAAATAGTGAAAAGTGGGTGTTAAATTGTACAGTGGTATAATGTGCACCTCTGCCTACCCCTTCTGGGATAAAAGGCGTGACGTTTGCCATAATATTTTTTTTTTCAGTGAGCCGTTTTGCAATGAAGTTCCCCGCTTTCTTGGACAAAATACCGGGTCTCGGGTACAGCAAGCCCACGACACTAGTGACGAGACATGACGACTATACGGTGGGAGAAACGACTGGAGGCCTAAGTGTCCTGTTCACAATACTATGTATAGTGGACCTTTTTGGAGTATTCCCTGTGATAACCTTGCCTAAAAGCGTTATATCTTGTGGTGAGTGCAAAAATATTAAGAATTAAATAAATTATTATGTTTTCGGCTTACTCTTACTATATTTTTATCGCCTTTAGGTATAGGCATAAATGCCCACTGCTGAGCAAAGCCTCTTTTCACACGAAGAAGTTTTGAGCATTAATCACCACGCTTGGTCAATGTGGGTCGGCAATTTTAAATTTATAATTTGAATTTACAAGTCCAGGTTTCCGCACGATGTTATCCTTCATCGTTTATCAATGATGTCTAAATAATCTTAGAAAGTACATATAACTCAAAAAAAGTTACATTGGTACTTGCTGTTGGTAGGTTTCGAACCGACACTATCATGCATGAGAAACTTATCCCATAAAAAATCTAAATGACTGAAACTATCCCTAAACATCTTTTAATTGTCTTCTATCTATAAATAATAAGTCATTGACGATGTTAAATCGATGATACTGAAGTAAAACCTGTTGTTATTGTTTCCAGGTATATACGGATTACCACTAGTTTTGTCCGTCTTCGGCCTGCAGCTGTACACCGCAGTTTTACTCGGGAAGAGCTGGTTACTGGCACAGAAGATAACTCCAGACATTAAAGAAAAGAACAGGTGAGGCTAGCTATTGGCATATACTACCTTTAAAACTGCAGAAATAGAACTTTAAAAGGCCGGCAACTCGCCCGGTGTTGTTTCTTACTCGAATCACTTGAAGTTTGTAAGCAATCTCTTAAACCTAACAATATACAAAACAGTAATCTAATTTTCAACTCTACTGCAAAATAATAAATTTCATAATGTAGTGATTTGTACTAACAAGTATTTTCTCAACATCCAGATTTCCTTATGCGGCAGTAGCAGAACTAGCATTTGGCGCGCCAGCAAAGAGGCTGGTAACTTTTCTCATCGATGCTGCTGTCTTCGGTTCAGGCGTTCCGAATTTTATTATCGGTAAGTTTTAATTAGCAGACTTCGACAAAAATTCTCATTTTTGTCGAAGAACCGATGACCGTTAGGTTAGTCGTGGTCTGGAGTGGAGACCGCGTCTAGGCAAACGTAGTGTAGAGCGCCCTCCAGGTAGGTGGAGTGACGATATGCGCAAACTAGCTGGTAGTGGTTGGATGCGTAGTGCTGAAGTTCGAGCTCAGTGGCGTGTCATTGAAGAGGCCGAGATGCCATGTTCAGCAGTGGACGAGAAAAGGCTCTTAATATGACAGCTTAATATGACAACAGAAAAAATGACAGCTCGGTTGGCGCGGTGGCTGGGCAACTGACTGCCGCGCTACGTGTCGCGGGTCGCGGGTCGCGGGTCGCGGGTTCGATTCCCGCACGGAACAACTCTTTGTGTGATTCACAGATTGTTGTCCCGGGTCTGGGTGTCGTGTGTATGTGATATTGTATGTTTGTAAACGCACCCACGACACAGGAGAAAATCCTAGTGTGGGGCAATGTTTTTAAAAAAAAAAATATATATATTTATATATAAGTGTTAATTAAGTGCTAAACTAACGGAAGACTAGAACATAAAACATTGTTACCACCCACTTACCACACTCTCTGATAAACTGATAAACCAGAAGAAACCCTAAATCCACGATTACGAAAAATCCACAACATATACAAAAGCAGGATTCAGCAACCCTCTAAGATGTAAAGATTATACCACATTATGAGAGAGGCCTTGAGCAAGCATGGTGATTAATGTGCATATTTTCTCAATGTGAGAAGAGGCCTTTACTTAGCAACTGGTACTTATAGGCTGGTGATGGATGAGACCCCTTAAACGTCATAACACACCTAACGAGCACGGCTCCGACACTGCTCAAGCATGGCTCCGGCACGGTGTTTTTTTGCATTGGAAACAATACAAAAAGGTTGCACAGCTTTTTTACATTGACTTTATGAAATAAAACATACAAAAAAGATTTAAAGTTTATATTTAAATTAAACTAGTGACCCGCCCCGGCTTCGCACGGGAGCAATGTGTATGTATTACACATGTAAAA